GCCGACAAGCTTTTTGGTCTAAGCTTCACAAATGCAGCTAGGATTGTTCTCCCCATCAACAAGAATACTTCAGCTGGGTAAGGAACTCTGGCAAACCCCAGCCACTCTTTGTCCCATGTCTAAAACTGGTGGAAAAAAGAAATACCAGATGATCTTAAAAGGCTTTGAACATTTTGATATTCATGCAAATCCAGGGTCCTTGGTAGTATCCACAGTCCAAGAGAAATCCAGGTTCTCAGAGGGCACATCTTAGGACAAAACAAAGGCAGCAGATTTGACTGCAGTGTTGAGAGCCACATCGGAACTGATCCAAAGCCTCCCACTACTTTCGCAAACCACCTAACCTCTTTCCACCATGTTTGATCCACTACTACATCAGACAAATGGGTGTTAACAATGGGCAACGATGTCTACTGTGTTCGTTTCTACACCTTATCCCCATCCCTCTTCAGAGACCCATCTCACTGTTACAAAAAGAAGTGACCTTGTTGCTCCTTCTAGGAACCATAGAAGAGGGACCTAAGCAGTACAGAGGAGAAGGCTTTTACTTCTGGTATTTCCTTATGCTAAAGTGGGGGAGGGACTTTGTGCTATCCTCCAAGGAGAATAAGCAAATACATGCACTGCATCAGATTCAGAATGATAACGCTTGCCTCTTCATACCATCTCTGCAGACTCAGAACTCTTGTGGCTCTTGAGTTACATGACACATACCTCTATAAAACTATCTACCCGGCCCACAGGAAGTATCTGAGATTCACAGTGAGATCAAATCACTAGCAGTACAAGATGCTGCCATGTGGACCCTCTGTGGCACTGACAGTCTTCACAAAATGCCTAGTGATGGTAGCAGAATTCCTGAGGAGATAGAGCTTACATGGATGACTGTAAAGCAAGTTCCAGCAGGAAGTGGCAGTGAGCCTAGAATATGCTACCTCTCTGTTCACGCAGCTAGGTCTCCGACTGAAATATGAAAAATCATCTCTTATCTCATTACAGATAGAGCTGATAGGCACTATGATTGAATACAGATTGCTGAGAGAGTACCTGCCAAAGACAGGTTTCCGTCACTGCAATCACAAACTTGCCTTGAAGTGTTAGGTCATATGTCAGAGTGTATATGTTTGATACTGTTTGCCAGACTTCACCTTCAGTCCCTACAATTCTGACTCAGGTCCATTTACTCTCCATTGAGACACTGCAGTGATAGGAAGATCTCAGTGCTACCTCATGTCCTCACAGAGTTGATAGGGAGGATGGAACCCAAAAATCTGTGGGAGGTGGTACTGTTCTCATCCGCCTTCCCAACAAAGAGTGTGATCACAGAAACGTCTGGGGCAGGGTGATGTCAGCTGGACCACCCACAAATGAATGGGACCTGGTCCTCAGGAGACATAGGACTTCACATAAACATCCTGAAACTCAGAGCTGTCAGGCTAACCAGTATAATGTTCCTACCTGTCCTCCAAAATTCCATAGTGCAGCTCCTGATGGGCAACATCTCCATGATGCCCTACATAAACAAGCAAGCCAGTGCCCACTCATCACCCCTCTTCCTGGAAGCTATCAAACTTGACATGGTGCCACCAACATGGGAGAACCCTGTTGGCTCTTCACCTCTTAGGAGTCAGCAATGACCTGGCAGACTTCCTGAGCAAACAATTATGACCAATCATGAGTGGTCCCTGCAGAGGTCCATCAAAGCCAATATTCCATTGGGGAAGGGGGTCCCACGATAAACCTATCAAAGACAATACCAAGCCCCAGAATTTTTGTTCCAGAGGGGGCATGAACCTGGGGTCATTGCCAGATGCCTTTCTTCTGCAATGGAATCCAGGCCTCCGTTTGCCTTTCCACCAACTTTCCTGATCCCCAGGTGATTTCCAATATCAAAAGAAACAAACCCACAGTGAATCTCATCATTCTCCCTACTGGCCAATGGCTGACTGACTTAAAGATGCCCATGCACCCTTTGATTCAGCTCCAAAACTGCCCGGTTCTGATGTCACAGCACCACAGTCAGATAGTCCAACCAGACTCAAAGTCCCTTTACCAGAAAGCCTGGATGTTGGCTGGTTGAGTACCACGGAAAGGGAGTGCTATAGGCAAGTCCCAGAAATCCTGATATAGACAAGGAAAACATCCACCAGAGGGACTTATTTGTCAAAATGGAAGAGGTTCTTGATATGCAGAGCCAGCATGGCTTGGACCCTCTGCACACTTCAATACCAAAGCGCGTAGACTGTTTGCAGCATCTGAAACAGTCTGGCCTTTCATTCAGCTCCACTGAGGTTCATCTAATAGCAATATCAGTTTGCCATCCACCTGTGCAGTCATGTTCCATCTTTCACGCAGAGTTATCAGAATTCATCAAGGCCCTGTTACATACTTACTCACTGGTAAAAAGAACCTGCTCCTACTTACTCTCAAGGCTTTCAGGATGCTCCTTACTTCATCTCACTCTGAAGACAGTCCTTATGGCTCACCCTCTTATCAGAACATTTCATAGGATAAGGTGGTGCTGAAACCCAGGCTCATCCCCGAGGTGGTGTCAGAATTCCATCTGAATCAACCAATCAATCTGCGTGACTTCTTCCTGAAACCCCCAATTTTTAAAATCTGCACGGCGGCAATGTAGAGTAAGCCACTGACATTCATCAAATGCTGTGCCCTGGACTAGACAGCCAAGGCAAAGGCCCAGTTCAGGAGAGTGGTACTACAATCTCTGACTAATGCAGCTGATACTACTCTTCCCTCCATCCAGAGGGAGTACTGCTTGCCAGTCACCTATCATGGGATTTATGCTGCCATCCTCAAAGAAGAAAGAATGGTTATTTACCCTACACTAACTGTGGTTCTTTGAGATGATGATATCAGTCTGGATCCTATAATCTGCCCTTCATCCCCACTTTCAGAATCCTCAGTGAACACAGGCTTCAAATTGCAAGAGAACTGAGGGAGAGTCATGGCCACTCCACCCTTTGTGCCTTCCTGTTGGAACATGAGGATGCACAGGGCCCATGCATAGCCCTGACAAATGCTGGTATTCAAAAGAATCCAATCTTGCGCACATGAGGTATATGGGCATCTATAGTATACTCCACACTGACAACATCATCTCAAAGAACCACAGTTACTGTAGAGTAAATAACAGTCATTCTTTTTGTTATTGTTGCTTTTCTTTAGAAATAATCTATCCCCTGTTATCTCTCAACCTTGACATGGAGATCAGCTAGTTTATGCAGGTGTTACATAGAATTGGCTTCTCAGGGAGGATTTAAATGCAGATAGTGGCCTTGCAGATCAGATCTGAGTGGGGGTGTTCCATCCCTAGGGGGTGGTACGGAAGAAGGCCAAAGGACTAATGAAGTGGAGTAATGACATGTAAAAGCTGGCATCACTGGCAGAGTAAAGGGGATGAAGGGGAAGGGAGTGACTTTGAAACAGCCAGGATGGAAAAATAGGGAGGGCAGAACTATGCAAGGTTTCGAAGGCAAGGACATAAAGGTTGAACTTGAAGGGAGTCCTGTGGAGAGACTAAAAGAGATGATGGTGTGATTGGACCAATGGACAGAGAAGATTAATTTAGTGGGTGTGCTTTATATGGATTAGGAGAGAGTGGATAGTGTTGTTAGGAAGGCCAGACAGGAGGCAGTTAAATTAATTAAGATAAGAGACAGAGTCCCTGAACAAAAGATTTTGCTGTAGGGTAGAAAGAAAAGGATGGAAGTTAGAAGCTGGGTTGCTAGATGATTAAATCTGTGTTGTCATGTTTATGAATATTTTGTCTGGAACTGGGTATATTGCTTGCTATTCTGATAGCTGGATATACAGAAGCTTTCATAAATTCACTGTCACGCGTTCTGTGAACTGTCACTGAATTTTATGAAGAAGCTCATATTTGACATCTTTTTCACACACACACTCCATAGGCATCAGTACTCTGTTTTCCATGCTCAAGAGAAATGTGGATGGAATTAGTACCTTAATGCAGATTTTGCTACATTCTCTGAAATTTCCATTTACTCTTTCCTTTTTTTAAAAAAAGGAACGTATTTAGCCCTTCTGGTTACAAGAATCTTTATCCAGTATAGATTGTCTTGTTCAGTCTGCCACCATTAATAAGAGAGATGCAACCACACATGCGCACGCACACACACACAAAATATATATAGGTGTTAACTATGGAACTTGATTAGCACAGACATAATTGCAGAATCTGGTTGGCTATTTGGTTTTGAATTACATGTTGTCACAAATGTCTAATTCTGTTTGAGTCCTGAGGGAGCAGGATCCAATTAGAAGAGCTGATCATTGTCCCTCTCCTTCAAGCTCATGATTATTTTGCTGTCTACTGTTAACTCTACTTTTTTCTCAGGCACATTATTTCCAGATACAGCAGCTATTCCATAGTTTAGATCTGTGCTTATGATCTTATGTATATGATGCTCCATAAATACTGGATTTCATCTTACTTAGTTGCTCTAATAATCTGTCTAGGTTACTTTGCAGTTTGGATCTCTCTCACTGTTTAATCTCTCTGATTTTGGTGTTATCTCCATATTTGATTGCAGTTGAATTTGTTTTCCTGTCCAAAAGATAGATCACTGATCCCACTTCATATTTTTCCCCATTTGTAGAGCTCACAATGAATGAGTACTCTCTGAACCATATTTACCAACCAACTACTAATCCATACTACAATAGTTTTATATGGTAGAGTTTTGGCCCTACTTGTATTTCACCTTACTAAAGTGCAGATGTATCCATTGCATTCCTTTTCTCTAGCAAATCAATATGTGTGTTGTAGGCTGTGTTGGCAGCTGTTTCACAAGCGCAAAGCATAATAAAGAGAAAGAGACAAATATTTAAATTAAATTTTGTTTTAATTTAATTCACATATATTTTTCCATCAGGAGAAAAAGAAGAAAAAAATTGAACAGGCTACACTCGCCAGTGCAGAGCAAACTATTCTAACAGCTGTCTCATTTTTATTTCAGAAGTCTACAGAGCAAATGAAGAAAGTCCCTACTATTGTTCTATCAGTCTCTTACAAGGGAGTCAAATTTATTGATGCAACAAATAAGGTATGTGTAATTTTTGGTCATAAGATTTTATTCCTCATTATGCTAGATAGCTTATCTAGTAAAAGCCAGATGGGGATCAGCGCTTCAATTTCAAGTCCTCTGCCCTCTTTTTTTTTTTTTCTCTCTCCTACCCTGAACAGACAAAGTACCTCTCTCGCACTCCAGAAGCCCACTCTTGTGGACAAATAGAGCAGTTCTGGAGGGAACTGTGCCCCGTCTTCCCTCATCAAAGAGAAGCTCATCACAAGAAGGGTTTGGCAGGATGCCCCTCCTCACCTGGACAAAATCCCCCAACCTATTTTCCTTTTACAGTACATTATGCGGAAAAGTATGTGTTCCTTGCTTTTCAAAACACAAAATATCCCATATGGGGGCTTTCTCCACCCCCCTGTAAGTGTAGTAAAATTGTGTGGTTTTATTCAAGACCCAGCGCAGCAAAGGTCAAGAGGTATGAGACTGGTATAATCAGCTTCCAACCATTTTAAGGGAGTGTTATAGGTTGTGCCTGCCCTTTAGTGCCCCCTTCTGGCCAAGTGTGGGTCTGCGGAGGTGTGCCTCAGTTTCGCCTTAACTTAGACTCACTTAAAAAGTCAACACAGACAAGATATACAGAACTTGCCCCCTTTGGGGGTATAATTTAGTGTTCCAGCCTGAAGTCTTTCAAAAAGAAAACTCAGCTTGGCTCAGTTCTGCCTCTCTGATGGTCTGGAGTTTGGCTTCTCCTGCTGTGTTCCCCCCATTGACTCAGGAGCCTCTTTACTCCTTGCAGGCATCTGCCAAATACTTTAATCTGTCTCCCCTTTCCTGAGACCCAGGTACCTTCCCTTAGGCTCAACTGGACAGCAGATAATCAGTGCAGGTCACTGGACCCTGCGCCCTTTCTTGCAGGGGCCAGTCACCCCGTGACAGGGGGTTTACAGGTATTTGCACTCTGTCTTCCTGAACTGCAGCAGCCTCTTCACAATCACTATGAGTCTCCTAATTTCTTCATTCTACTGTGTACCAGGGCACCTGTTGTTTGTTTAGGGTTCTTTTCTCCTATTAGATTTGCAATGTTATAAACCACAGCACAGATAGAAAGATAGAAGAACATAGTGCTGGAAAGTATGATGATTTCTTGCTCAGCTAAAATAAAATTTGCAAACTTCCTGGGGGGGTATAAAATGTACTATTTTATAAAGGACTCTTTCTTCTCTTGAACTCTAAGATGTCAAGAAAACACTAATTATATCAATTCATGTGAATGACAAAACATTTTTGTTGTTGCTTAGTTTCGTATGTGTGACTGCCTATCTGACCAGGTTGCTAGGGTTTATGACTGTTTTGCATTGCTAAGCAGCCTGGCTACAGTGAAGAACTGGCCCATATACTATCCCGTTATCCCTCAACCTTGCCATTGCCAATCACTTTACGTAGGTATTGAATTAGAAGTGGGTCTTCAGAGAGGATTTGAATGTTGACAAAATAGTGGTCTTGTGGACCAATTCAAGAAGGCTGTTTCATAGATTCTAAAGCCAGAACGGACCATTGTGATCATTTAGTCTGACCTCCTGCATAACATAGGCCAGAGAACTTCCCCCAAATAATTCCTAGAGCAGATCTTCACTTTCAGAAAAACAACCAATTGTGATATAAAAATTGCTTGCATAGAGGGGTGTGCGAAAAGACCAGAGCTAGTTATGCAAGAAATAAATTAATAGCATGTCAAGGTTGGCATCACTGGCAGAGAAGAGGGCCCAAGTATTTCTTTCAATTCTTTAAAAGCGGCAAAGAGTCCTGTGGCACCTTATAGGTGGGTGACGAAAGCTTATGCTCCAATACGTCTGTTAGTCTATAACGTGCCACAGGACTCTTTACCACTTTTACAGATCCAGACTAACACGGCTACCCCTCTGATACTTTCAATTCTTTGTTTTCCATCAGGGTCAAAACTGATTTTTCACCTCTCCCTCCTTTCTTTTGGAGGAAGTTGGCAAATTTTATGTTTGTAAGCCTTCTACACTGAACTCTTACATGGTAGAGTGCAATAATTTTTCTGTTTTGGCTAGAAAGATAAGTAATGCCTCAGTCCTATCCAGTTTCTCAAACAGTAGAATATCTTCTCACACTTATGAAATCTGGACTGCATTTCCCTGCTGTAAAAGTCCATGTAGCAACCTGCCACTCTCCTATGGCCATTGCTTCCATCTCTGCCCATCTGTGTGCTCTATCCATTTCCCACAAATAAGTGTGTGGTACCTCAATGCTAGCGCTAACCTGGTTTGCCTCCAGATAAGCCTGCAGCTGATGGCTCCTACTATTTATCAATAAATTATAGAATATTTAGTGGCCATAACAGCTACTAGTCATGTACATGAAAACCCAGCTCTCACGGTTGTTCCTCGTTTACACTATGTCATCAGAATAAGTTGTACAAGATCCTTCCCAGAGTCGTGTCTGATTCCCACTTAAATCAAACCAATATCTTTCCTTTATTCTTTCCAGTTCCTCATAACATGCCTGGTAGAGCCAAATTCCTTAACTTGGATATTCAAATGTTAGAGTTGTTTCTTTGACAGGACTAAATGTTTTCATAAATCACATTTGCGGGCTTAGCTATTTCAGACTAAAGACTATGTAAATGAATAAAACTTTGTACTCTGTGTTCTTATGACAAGGCAGGGGTTTAGATAGCAGAAGGACTCACAACTCATTACACCAGAGCTATATCAATGGCTATTTGGCATTTGAGTCATACTTTGACTCAGCACACTGTTGAGGCCTGATGCAATGCTAGTTTAGAAAGAGCAGTGTTTAGCTTTCTTTATAGTTGATCACATCTCGTTCCCTACTTTCTGTAGGATTTGTGCTGCTAGGTCATCTCCCAAGAATGGGGGGTCAGCTGAGACAATTCAGGGAGGAGAAGGGAAGGTTGCTTTCCAGTAACTGGAGCTCTCTAAAGGTATTCCTTAGCAGAGCCATGCTCAGCTTCCTTTCTTCGTTGCCTTTTCAGAGCTTGCTGAGAATTTTTGTAGCCCAGGAACTAAATGATACTTTGTAGATGGGACCTTTCATACCGCCTTAGAATCTTTGACCAGTGCCATAGGTGTGCACCTCAGAACAGCAAACTGGTTTATAATGGTTTCAATGCCTACACAGTAAGGGTATGGTTCTGCTGTGGCAGTGTCCCAAGGGAACTCTAGGTCATTGCAGGCAACTCCTTATGGAGGGAGAGGACTTTGTACAAAAACTAGATAAAGTGAAACTCAGCTGTTTGGTTTGGACCATGGAAATTCATGGACTTTCTTTCTTTCTTTCCAAAAATCTCAGTATACATAAATGGCAAAAACCATGAGATTTCAAGTTAAAATGCTGCAAAAGACTCTCCTGAGTTTCAACTAGTTTCAAAACACAAAGCTCTAAACCAGTGCAGGTTTACTCAGTGCTGAGTCCAGGGTCACTTGAGAGCTTCACAAAGGTTAGCAAAACTTTCAGTGAACTGAACCTGTTTTCAAGCATATAGCACACTTGAAACCAGATGAGTATTATGTGGCTCCTTGTTCGGGGGTAAATATTTCATATAGTTTTAATATCTTTTGAGCAATAATCCCTTTTCATCTGTAATGCTACATTGGTAACACATCATGATCATATGGTAATGTATTACAGTTTTATTTGTAGGAAGCTAAAACCTTGCTTTTTAGTATTTTAATTCTGATAAAAATCTTTGTGTATGCCAACAGTTCTCAAACTGAGAACAAAAGAAATATAAAGAAAACCATGTTATTGTGTTTTGCCTAAAGCAACATAAAATCAAATGAACAATAAATATAATTAAGTATGAAGATTTTCACAAATGGGTGTCCATTAAGGCATAATAATTGTTTATTGTCATTTGGTATGAGTAATACATTATACAGAAATAGAAATCAAATAATATGCTACAACAGTTTAAGATTAAGAGGATTATTTTGTGTCTTCAGTTACAATTTCCTTATTTTGGATTTTTGCATAATTTGAATATTAAAAAGTGTTGGAATGCTGCCCTTTTATCCAGAGTTTACTCACTCATTATTTCCTCAATTAGATATTAATAGGCCTTTCAGAAAACTTGCCAAGTATGCAAGTATATCTTGGCAGGTTAGAAGAAGACAGAGGAGAGTGATTCAAATGACCGAGTTACATATAATCTCCCCTCCAAAAAAAGAGAGATCCTCAAAGAATGCTTTTAATTTGCACAGATGTTACTGACACAACATTTAGCCATAGATCTCACTGACTGTGACATTAGACATCATATATGTTATGATAATACTGTATGCTTAGTGCCAAAAAACAGTGAGTAGCAGCACTATAGTATTTTGATCAAGTAGAGCTGTCATACTGCAGACAGGAATATTCTATGTTTGTGGAAATACAGTAGCCACATTGAATAAGGCTATGATTTAGGAAAGCACTTACCCATGTGGTGAAGACCATCCTTATTCGTTGACTCACTTTGAGCATGTGCCTTTGCTGAAATCGAGGCTTAAATCTATGACCATAATTCAGCCTCCTCTTTGGCTTCCTGGGTCCTCTGGCCTAAACAAGGTAAATATACAGCAGTATTTTTACATAGGTAAACATTTATTATTTTCTCCAAAGCTTTAGACAAAGTCGTCTTTTTGTACATCAGGCAGACATGTCTTGTCTTTGCCTCAGTACCATTCTGTAGTTTAATTTGGCCATTACATAAGTGTCCTGGCAGTAAATTGAGATATATTGCCACATCTTTCCAAAGTAATCCTTTTCCTGAAACTCCTTCAACAGCTCCATGCTTATACATTGATGATTATTGTTCATTCTGTTTGAGGTGGAAGAGTCAGATTGAATTTCTTCAAACTGTGCATGCAAAGATCCAGAGAATGCACCTGCACTGTCCTACCTTTTCCCATCTACCTGTGGGCTGCAGTGGTACTGATTGTTAGAACAGAAACAGCAGCATCAATGGGCATAGAAGTAGAAAATTAATAGTCTATTATAGTTATTCTCTCAGCTGTGTCCCATGAAAGATGCCTCTCTGTCACAGGATACCATGTAAACTGTACAGTGCTCTCATTTGAAAAGCAACACAGAACTGGAGGAAAACTCCAGGATTTTGCAGTTTCCTGTAGGATTCACTATTGATGACAGATAATATTTTGGATACTGTTGGAGGGTCCAGAATTCAATGGTCTGCGTAAGAAGCTGAACATGTGGTGTTTTAATCACATTGTAATTAAAAGACATAGTACCTTTGAAATATTTTAGTACAGAGGATGACTATAGCCTTAAAATGCTAAAATCAAATTAAGTTATTATGTAAGGGGCATCTACACTTAATTCCTGTGTTGACTGAAAAATAGTGATACTTTAGTTCTTTTTTTAACAGAATATTATTGCTGAACATGAAATCCGCAACATTTCCTGTGCTGCACAAGACCCTGAAGACCTCTCAACGTTTGCATACATCACTAAAGACTTGAAGACTAATCACCACTACTGCCATGTATTTACTGCATTTGATGTGGTCAGTTTACGGAAACTGTTTCATTTGACAATTTCCTTTATAAATCATTTTCATTAAAAATTATCAGCATAAAATTAGTAATAGTAAATGTTACATATATTGAAAAGGCTTAGAAAGAGCCAGCTAGGTGATGAAATGACACCACTGCAGGATTACAAAGCATTTCTCTAAGATATTAGCTCATTTCCCCTCACTCCTCTGTGGAATAATTTTTTGTCTACAACAAGTTTGTTCTTGTTTCTCAGCTGTTGATTGTAACTATCAGGTTTGGCACACAGCTTTCTCCAAAGCTATATAATACATACAGTTCCTTTAACTGGCTGCTATGGTAGTGGCTCATAAAAGTTCTTTACAAAAAGTTTGGTCACCCCTTCTGAAATCTCAGGGCACTACAAAGAAGTAAAAATCAAAATACTTTCAAACTCTGATCTATTTCCATGAAAACAACAACATATTGCACAATTGGACTGATGTACTTTATGCTTTTTGGGCTTATCCAACAAGCAGTTGAATAATTTGGCTCGATCCAGGAACGCACATAAGCTTAACTTGAAGCATGTGAGTAGTCCCATTGAAGCCAATGGCACTGCAAATCCTGGAAATGAATGCATGACTGAGCAAATGGTGTTGACAGGAGGGCCTTGGCTTCCTTGGCCCTGGAGTGCTGTTCCAGGAAGGAGAACTGCTGGAGGGAGATGGTCTAATGTGTGCATCTTCACACACTGACTCACCAACCTAGTGAGGAGGGCTTTAAACTAGGTTCAAAATGGGGAAGTAACAAAAGCTCACATATAGGTATTAAAAAAGACTACCTTAACAGAGGGCTAAATGTTGGGCGGGAAAAGGAAAATTACAATAGGGACATAGGAGCATCAATAGGATATCAGTGGGATATCTTAGGTATCTGTACACAAATACAAGGAAAATGGGGAATAAACAGGAAGAACTGGAAGTATTAGTCCATAAGATAAATTATGACTTAATGGCATCACAGACATTTGGTGGGATAAATCTCATGACTGGAATATTTGTATAGAGGGCTATAGTTTGTTAAGCAAGGACAGGCGGTGAAAAAGGAAGGAAGTGTTGCATTATTGTAGCAAAGTGAGACTAACGGTGGAGCTCCTCCTGCTGGTCATCTGGGAATTAGCTCTTTTTCCAGTGTACAGAGCGCCCTCTGCAGGCCGATGTCTCGCCTGCCACTGGCCCCGTGTGCATCCTGGATCCCAGTGCCCTTTACCTCAGGGTTCTGCCCTCTGCAGTATCCTTGCTCTGGGTCTCCCCTCCCAGGAGAACACCCATCCCTTTAAGCCTACCTTGCCTCAGTGGCTACTGCCAGTCATCATCTAGCCACCACTCACTGGGGCAGACTGCCGTGTAATGGCCACTCATCATTGGCAAAGAGGTAGGACCTGCTGCCTTTGCCTATCCTCGGGCTGCCCCTCCGCAGCCCCTCTACCTTTTGGCTTTAAACAAGGCCTGCAGCCTGGGGGTTTACCAGGCTGGAGCTCCCCTGCTCCCTTTGCCCTTCTCTAGCACTGCTCCGCTTCCGGTACCTTGCTCCCAGGCAGCTAGCTCTTCCCACTCCAGAGCTAGAGTGAGTCTCCTTCAGCTCCTGGCCCTCAGCTCTCTTATCAGGGCCAACTGGGCTGGCCATAGCTGTGGTCAGCCACTCCCTTAGCTGCTCTTTTTCCCTGTTCTCCTGGAGTGGGGCAGGCGCCCCCCTACAATTATACATTAAGAATAGACACACTTGTTCTGAGATTCAGAAGGAGGTGAGAGGCAGAGCAGCTGAAAGTCTCTGGGTTGAAGATAAAAGAGGAAAAACAGGACTGACATCGTGGTACGGGTCTTCAGACAACCAAATCAGGAGGAGGAGGTGGGTGATGCATTTCTATAACAAATAACAGAAATATCTAAAACAGAAGACCTGGTATTAATGGGAGACTTTGACGACACAGAATCTGTTAAAAAAGTAACGTAGTAAAACACAAAATGTCCAGTAAGTAAGTTCTTGGACTGTAGTGGGGACAACCTTTTGTTTCAGAAGGTGGAGGAGGTAACCGGAGAACAGCCATTTTAGATTTGATGCTAACTGACAGGGAGGAATTGGTTGTTAATCCTAAAGTGGAAGGCAATTTGGGTGAAAATGATCATGAAATGCTAGATTTCATGATTCTAAGGAAATGAAGGAGTGACAGCAGCAGAATAAGGTCAATGGACTTCAAAAAGGCAGACTCAGAGAACTGGTAGGTTAGGTCCCATGGGAAGGAAATATAAGGGGAAAAGAATTCAGGAGAGCTGGCAGTTTCAAAGAGACAATATTAACGGCGCAACAGCAAACTATCCCAGGGTGAAGGAGAGATGATAAGGCTAGTTAAGAGGCTGATATGGCTCCATCAGGAGTTCTTTAATGACTTGAAAATCAAAAAGGAATCCTATAAAAAGTGTAAACAAGGACAAATTGCTACGGATGAGTACAAAAGAATAGCATAAACATACAGGGACAGCATCAGAAAGGCTAAGGCACAAAATGAATTAACCTCGAAAGGGACATAAAATCCAAGAAGAAGAGATTCTATAATTAGTAGCAAAAGAAAGATGAAGGAAAGTGTAGGTTCTCTATTTAGCAGGGAAGGAAAACTAATAATGGACGACATCAAGAGGGCTAAGGTATTTAATGCCTATTTTCCTTCAGTCTTTACTAAAAGGGTTAAAGGTGACCAGATACTTAACACAATTAATATTAACAATAAGGGGGGCAGTAACACAAGCCAAAATAGGGATAGAACGGATTAAAGAATGTTCGGATAAATTACCTGTTTTGATGGCAATAGGACCTGATGAAAATCACCCTAGCATAATTAAGAACTTAGCTGAAGCAATCTCGGAACCGTTAGCAAATATCTTCAAGAATTCATGGAGGATGGGTGAGGTCCCAGAGGACTGAAGAAGGGCAAACATAGTATCTGTCTTTAAAAGGGGGAACAAAGATAACCCAGGGAATTATAGACCAGTCAGCCAGACTTCAATACCTGGAAAGGTACTGGAACAAATTATTATACCATAAATTTGTAAGCACCTAGAGGTTAATAGGGTTATAAGTAGTAGCCAACATGGATTTGTCAAGAACAAATTATGTCAAACTAGCCTAAGTTCCTCCTTTGACAGGATTACTGGCCTAGTAGATGGAGGGGAACCTGTAGATGTGATATATCTTGATATTTTTGTAAGCCTTTTGATACAGTCCCACACGACAGTCTAATAAGAAAACCAGGAAAATGTAGTCTAGAATAGATTAAATTACTATAAAATGAGTGCAAAACTGGTTGAAAGACCATATTCAAAGAGTAATTAGCTGTCAAAGTGGGGGGGTGTATCTAGTGGGGTCCTGCAGGAATCTTTCCTGGGTCCCATACTGGGTCAATATTTTCATTAACAACTTTGATTATGGAGTGGTGAGTATGATTATAATATTTGCAGATGACACAAGCTGAGTGGGCCTGCTAGGACTTTGGAGGACAGGATTAGAATTCAAAACAAAATGGTGAATAATCAATAATATGAAATTCAGCAAAGACAAGTGCAAAATACTGCACTTAGGGGTGAAAAAATCAAATGCACAACTATAAAATGCGAAATAAGTGGCTAGATAGTACTACTGCTGAAAAGGATCTGGGAGTTGTAGTAGATAACAAATTGAATAAGAGTCAACAATGTGATGCAGTTGCTAAAAAGGCTAATATAATTCAGGGGTATATTAATAGAAGTGTTGTACATAAGTCACCAGAGGTCATTGTCCCGCTCCACTTGGCACAAGTGGAGAACTGTGTCCGGTTTTGTGTACCATCCTTGAGAAAAGTTGTTGATAAATTGGAGAGAGTCCAGACGTACAAAAATGATAAAAAGTTTAGAAAACTTGACCTCTGAGAGAAGGTTAAAAAAAAAACTGGGCATGTTTAATCTTGAAAAAAAGAAGACCCAGGGAGAGGAGGTAAAAGTCTTCCGATGCATTAAGGTCTGTTATAAAGAGGGTGATCAATTGTTCCCTAAAGAGATGACCAGAAGTAATGGCCTTACGCTACTTCAAGAATGATTTAGGTTAGATAAATATTAGGACAAACTTTCTAACTGTAGCCATACATAAGCACTGGAATAGGCTGCGAAGGAAGGTTGTGGAATTCCGGTCGTTGGAGGTTTTTAAGAACAGGTTAGACAAAGACCTGCCAAGGATGCTGTAGATAGACTTGGTCCTGCCTCAGTGCAAGAGACTGGACTAGATGACCTTTGAGGTCCCTTCCAGCCCTACATTTCTATGATTGTGTGTGTTGAAGAGTTTTCCTGTATTGGGCCAGAGTGCTCAAAAATAAGTCGCTTGATCTTGCAATATTCTAAAAGTTATATGCTTAGATTTTTACAGTGTGTTCAATTAATTACACACTAGAAAAGCTGAGGGTGTAAAACTTTCTTTGCTAATATATGCAATGACATGAAAATGTTTGTATCACATGTTTACATTTACTTTGATAAAATATATTCTATATTTAAAGAGATCACATAGATAGCTGAACTACAAGGCTATACACCTCTCAAGAGATCTGAGGACACCATGGTAACTAGCTACCGCAGTGAATCTCAAGTGGTTTGTAAACTCATCAGAAAAAATGGTTACTAACTTTTCCGTATCTGTTGTTCTTAGAGATGTGTTGCACATGTCCATTCCAATGTAGGTGTGTGCGTGCCCCAAGCACAGTAGCCAGAAATTTTTTCCGTCAGTGGTACCCATGGGAGTGGCTCTGGCACCCTCTGGTGCCACACACTCATAGCGCTGGTATAAAGGGTCCAGCCGACCCCACACCTCCTTGGTTCCTTCTTTCCGGCCAATTCCAATAAATAGGGGTAGGAGTGCTGGAATGGACATGTGCAACGCATCTTGAAAAACAGTTACAGAAAGGTTTGTAACTGTTTTTTCTTCAAGTGATTGCACATGTCCATTCCAA